GGCGCATGTTTAGCAAGTTTCCCATAATAGCAAATAAATAATAGTTGGGAACAAATTTAATAATTCATATTTTTATTGTGATTTATAAGAAGAAACATTGAATAATAAACGAGAAGGGTGGAGGGAAATGATTTGCTAAGAATCGAAGCCAAGGCACAGAGCGCAGTGGGATGCTGCCTCCAGCCTAGTAGAGTCTTTTTACAGGTGTTAATTCACTCCCCCCCACGCCAGTTCCTCTTTCATGGAGAGAACTCTTCCCCACACCAAGCTGGAAAATGTAGGTGAGCATTTCCTAAATAAATGGCGTTTCTCAGCTATTACAGTAATGACTTCAGCTGGTTCCAGGTTTTGAATCCCCTAAGGGGAAGGGAGATTCTAAGTTTCAAAGCTTGCTTCAGTTCTGGGTTGTTTTTTCTAGGTAAACAGACGTATAGCTGACCTGGTATAAAACTCCCCTATGTCAAGTGACCCTCTAATAGCACATGACATGCCTCACATATGAATTAGAATCCTCCATTTTATTAACAATAATGTATGACACACAAGCACTAATAATGGGGCTGGGCAATCATAAACCGGTAAGTCCCTGATTGATTGGCTTTTCCTTGGGCATCCATCAAGGCGTCATTGATCTTCTGTGCGAAGGGGGTCTGATTAATTGCGTTCCTGAAGTAGGATCGGGTTGTTTATGAGGGCTGGCAAAAGGCACACGGATGGTGACTAGGGCTTGCAAGCAGTGGTGGGGAGTAAATATTATCAGTCCTGCTTTGGGAGAAGGAATAAAAAGGGGACCTGCACTCCTGGTTGCGAGGCAGGGAGAATTCACACAGGATGAGAAGATGCTGCTTTTGGAATTATTACTGTTTGCAGAGCGGAAGGTCTGCAAACAGATACAGCTGCAATGTTAGACATGCAGGGTGCCAGCCTGGGGCTCAGGAGCACCAGGTTCAATTATTTTTTTTCTGATGCAGACTCCCCTATGTGACCTTGGTTAAGTTATTTAGCCCCTCTCTGGCACAGCTCCTCCTCTGTGAGGTGGGGACGGTAGCACTTTAGTTCAGCCATCCTTTGCCTACTCAGACAGAGACCCCCTTCCCCATGCATGTGTTTGTGCAGTGCATGACATATGAGATTCCTCATCTTTGAGGGGCAGCTGGGTGCTACTATGACACAAAAGTCATAGCTTCTCTTTTCACTCCTGGAGCAGACAACCTCTCCGGGGGGAGTATTGGGGTGTATGTAAACCTCAAGACTAAATGAACCCAGGGTCCTAATTTTCCTGTCACTCTAAAGAGTGCAATCCCTCTAGACTAAGGTAGGGAAACCATTACTACAACACAGAGTGGGAAGCTTGACATGAGGGGCCAGGAAAGCGTGAGTTTTTGTCTGAGCCTTAGGGACTGACAGCTGAATCCTCAGCTGGCATTGGTTGCCACAGCTCCATTGCGATCAGCAAGGCTTTACTAGTTTACTGTATAGTAGCTGAGAATCCATCCTGGGCTCCTCTCCGGCTCCCATGGCAAGGGGTGGTCATTGCAGGTTGTGGCTGAGTTGCTTGTGAGAGATTGCACAAATAGGAAGCAGCAAGGGGTGGATGGAAATTAAAATGGAACAGTCGTGTTGTGGGGGCCTTCAGTCTCTTTTCAGACTTATGATAGCAGCCTACTGCTTTCCCCTTGGTATCTCTTGACACCTACTGCCAGAGCATTTTGCAGTGCCATGAAGGGACTTAAGGCCCTGTGACAGGCAGAGTACTAAGGAGGACTGTGATAGTCTTGCAGCCTTAAATGGCAACAGGAAAACCACTTGAGGCTTATTCCAGCTGTGAAATATTCCCCATGCCAGCGGCCGCAGCGCATTTTGTTTATAGAATGTGCTGTTTCTTTTACGGCAGACATGTTGTTGTTGGGAATCTTCCCCCCTCCCCTTCCCCTTGTTGATGGAGATTAGCAGCATAAATCCTTTTATGGCCCCATGCGCAAACCCACCATAAAAGCCCCCAGTTGCTGGCGATTAGGGGAGCGAGAGCGTCTGCTTCAGGTTCGCTCATCGCGGCGGATCTCTGGAATGAAACGCATGAAGCACTGGAGCCACTGGAGGGTTTCTGCTTTCTGAGAGTAAATCTGAGTTTTAGTAAAAACAAATTAAATAAGTCCTCAGTGCTGAGTGGAAAAGCTCATTGCGAGCAGGCAGTATTCAGAGCCACTGGCTTCTTTTAGTAGGGTTTGTTTTGTGAGTGACATAGTGGCTGATTCTTCCCTTGCCCTAGCATAAATCAGGAATAATTCAATAGAGTTAAAACTGGTATGAAACTGGCAGGACAAAGAGGAAAGCTAGGCAGGAGTTGGGGGTGATACCTCTGGGAGTTATGCGACTTTGGTTCTCTCACCACACTATCCTGTGGGCTTGTTGACATTCCTTGCGTGCTGCCTCAGTTTCAGTATCTGTATAATGGGGCCAGGCCAGGCTTTGCAAAGCCTTTAAAAGTCCATTTTGAGAAAGAAGCTCTGACTGAGTGTGTAGCATTTGTTAAGCCAGAGGACCACAGTTATCTCTTACCTTGGTTAGGGATCTGTGTATGTAAGACCTTGCCCACCCCAGTAAGTTCATGTATAGTCTTAACTAAATTATACTAAATCTCCATCCCAGTCCATGCAGGCTTCGTTAGAACTTAATTAGGCAGATTCTGAAGAAGCGTCCCTCAACCACTATCTTCTTTCTGCCCCCACCATCCCCCCCGCCCCCTTCCTGAAAAATCCAACTGCTCAGCAACCCCTTAAACCCAGGCATCAGCATCTTAGTGAGATGCACAAGTAAATTAGCACCTCCAGACGAGAGCAGAGTTCACTCTGCACTGGGCTCTGCCTCGCTGTGCCAGTGCACTCCTCATTTTAATAGTTTAATAAAAATTAGCATAATTAACGAACATCTGTATGATCCAGAGTGGTGCAATTTGGCACTTGGAAACGAGGACTTAAACATTATTGCTGGGAGTTTAATGTTGTTTTAATTCTTTTTGGCACTGTGCAGTGAAATAAACGTTTGGTGCCGATAGTTCTCGGCTGGCTCTCATTTGCATTTTCCTCCCTTTGATTATGAGCAATCGCGGACTCCCCGGCAATTCATCAAAGCAGAAATTATTTTAAAATACCTCATGGTGTTCAGGCCGAGGCGTAGCTGCAGCAGGCAGAGGAGGGCTGGGATGCAGGCTTGCATTCTTCCATTCATACCTTGTACAGCTCTCTGACCTGGTGCCCATGGCTCAGCCCTTCCATCCAATCCAGCCCACCATTCAGGGGCTGGGGATCTGGCTGGATTGATTTAATCCTTCTGCCTACCCAGATCAGGTTGCCTTTCTGACACAAAGCTTTTGCTCCTTTTTTGCAGCAGGATTTTCCTTTCCACTTTGAGAGGAGAGTAAGGCAAGTGCTTGAAGTGGGGGTTTTGGGCAGAAGCTTGCATCACCGGGGACCCAGCAGCATTGCAGCCTGCTCAATTCAAGGATTCAGCTGCTGTGCAGTGGCCTGGTGAGCATGCCAGTGGTTGAAGTCAGCCCCTCTGCCAGGCACTTGTTCCTATCTCCTGCTCACAGTTGGGAGGCAGCATATTTGGGTGTCTGTCCTGGGGTGGGAGCAGAGAGAGGAACACCTGGGTTTCATCCCCGGTGCTGGAGGGATTGTGGCCCAAGAGGGCTGTGCCTGGGGAAACCCAGATTCTGTCTCCAACGACTACTTGCTCATCATGCATTCCTACCCCAGACCAAATCTCTTCACCAGCTCTTTCTCAGCTTCCCCATCTGCAAAAGAGAGACGGTTACTCTATTAAGGGGATACATTCACTCCTGTGCAGAGAGCCAGCCAAAGGGGTATAAGCCTTAGAGCTTCAGCATATAAGCTAAACTCTAACGAAAGGATTGGGTGGCAACATCCCCTGAGGAGCATTATCCCATGTGGAAATTATCCTACAAGGCAGAGTTTATTGAACCTTACTCTGAAGCAGCTGGTGTTGGTTGCTGGTGCTGGAAGGATACAGGAGTAGACAGAGACTGAGTAGGCTGCAGGGTGATGATCTTTCACTGCACGTGTTTTTTTTTAAGCCCTTCGTTGAATGCGGGCATTGCACAGAAATTGGTCACCCCTCTGTGAAAAGGTAGCTGTCCTCTTCCTGGCTGAGAAGTGCAGTGAGATGTTAGTGTGGAAAGCCCTGTGCAACATGGCTGATCTCTGAGGGGTTTGCTTTTGAATAGCACTCTTAAGGCATTCATCCGGGAAAGCCTAGAGAAGACTATTATTTAAACTAAATGTATTTTATAGCTCAGACAAAATATGCCTTTTGCAGGAGGGCAGATGGGGAGATGGTATTTTCCCATCCATCTTTTGCTTCCAGTAACTGCTGTTATCTGTATAAGAGCAGATAAATACACAGATGGTCACTCAGGTGTGAAGGAGGGAGGACAAGAGGGGATTTTCCCCCATTGCGTTCATTGACATCTGTCTCCTGCCAGCACTCAGCTGGCTATTTTCTTACCCACCCTGGGAACAGTCTATCCCAGAGATAAGTCTGTGGATGACAGTGATGCTGTATTACGAGTGTGGTGCAATGACAAAAGAGAAAGGGCTCATCACAGTTGTGGCCCAGGAAGCTTTCTAGTTGAGCTAAGGGAGATCTTCAGCCCACCTTCCCCCTGACACCAACTTGGACGATCAAGTCAAATTACTGCTTAGTAGCATGCCTGCACCCCCCACCCCCCATGTCTGTTTATGCTGTGCCCATTCCACTTGGGCTGCCTTGCCACCTCCAGCCTGCCCTAAGCCTCTGCTGTTTCTCTGAATCCCTCCCAGTGATGCACTTCTGCAACTAATGCTCATGGGAAAAGTAATTGTGGTTTGTTTGTTTTTTTTAAGAGTAAAGCTTGAAGATTAAAATATAGCTGTTGCACTTAGAAATAAATTTTTTAACCTAGTGCTCTGAGAATTGACATAACACTCGGTTGACTTTCCCAATATAAAATGAGCTATTAGTCCTAGTATTGTCTTAGCTGCAAAGAGATCTTTACCCAATGCAGGCAGGCAGCAGTTCTTGTACAGCCTCAACGCATGGATCCTTCGCTTGTTGGCTGGGTGGCAGGATGGCTTCTTGGTCTTCCCTGGACTGCACGCACCTTGCTGGCAGTTCTGTCTTGCTTTATACTGTTTCTTCAAAGCATATTTTCTTGATGGGTTGAAGATGAGGGTCAAGACAAAGCTGACAGGGTGGAGGGTCGTTGTCCTTTGGTTGTGTTGTAAATGTTAGCCTTTTGGATCCATCTCTGGTTGTTGTGGGTGAAACTGATGTGCACAAAAACCCTTGATTGCTCTGGAGGTTTCTTATTTGCTTAACTATAGTATGGTTTGATTGCTCGAGCCCAGCACCCTAAGCTGGAGGTTTACTACTCCATTAATTGCAGTAGGACTTGATTACTTGAACTGAGCACCTTAGACCATGAATTGTAAGGCACTGTATAGGTCATTGTTATAACAGGGCAGATCCCAAAATATTTTCCAACTGGCACAGATACCTAGATTGGTGACGAATGTGATAACAAGGGAGAGGCAATCATTTTGAAAGGGGAATTTATTCATAATCAATTTAGTGTAGTTGGGCATAGGGTGTACTTGATACCAAAGCCAGAGATGGGATTAACTTTATTGTTATGTTTCAGGTGGTCCCAGTCACAAGTTTACATTCTTGTGCAAAAGGCGCTGATATTATAATTTAGTCATTTAAATTTTGCACGTAGGTCCTGACAAGCTCTGGGTCCAGCAACAGCTGCTGCTCCTTTAGGCTTCCCAGTACATCCTGACTGCCTTGCTGAGGCTGGAACCTTTTCAAACCATATCTGGAAGCTGTAGGGGAAGAGGGGCAGGGGTCAGCTCAGTCTGGATA